TATATTATGATGATAATTATTTACAGCCAGATGACTCATAGCAAGCATTTACCTACAGCATTTGCTGCCTACGACAAGTTCAATGATTTCATGTGAGTTGGGACTTTTTTTCCTCAGCGTCTCTTGAAATAACAGGAGAAATAAGAGGACCCTGAACTCTTTGGTATAAAAATAACACCAACGTCGCAGAGGGAGATAAGAAGAGCTTCAGCTGGGCTCGTTTTATTCAGAACAATGTTGTCATCGCCAACGTTCGACAAGGTTTCTCTTTCAAAATTTGCACCTTGACAACGCTCACTATTTTTAGATGTGCTTCACTTAAACGAGGAAAACACTAAGACAGACAACTTTCAAATATTTGTTTGCGGTGAAATTTATTACAAGTCGTAAACATRACTAAGCTGATCAAATGTCAAATGTGACTCAGAGGGACACCGTGTCTTGACAGTGTAATTATGTGATTAAATCCATCACTAGCTTCTGGGTGAGTTCCAGAACTGTAACAACAAATTAACCCTGTTGTTCCACATTGAGCACTGAAGTGTTACCAACTTTTTTTTAAATCAGTGTACAACGTTTGAAGCCTTCTCGTTCTACTGTTTAATCCCATTTCCATAACAATATACGGATGTACAACTCCAAAACAAAAAGTAACAACTGTGTCCTGCAGCATTATTGGTCACTGTTCCATCCTCGCACACATTGATTTTCTTGGCTTGCTAACCATGTGACCACAAACCTCCTTATGATAAACCTTTCCACTGAACTCCTGCAAACTTTCGGCCTTTTTACAAACTGCTTAGTTTCACAGTCAACTGTTGATTTTAGAGCTGACAGATATGCCTGAGGTGTATTTGCTGTTATCTGTATGTACTGCAAAAGCTCTTATGGCTGTCAAACCAATCCTCCTGCCAGAGTACGCCTCCAACCACCATGGACGATGTGATCAATGTTGAAGCAACGCCCACACTTCCCTTACAGACATGTGTTTGCAGCCCACCATTAGTTGAGCCTCACAAAAAATAATAAAATGTCAGCGAGGTCAATTATCTATAATATTCCAGCTCATTGTAAACCTGGCCAGGGAGTTATCATTATCTTTGTGATTACAGGCGAAAACGGACTGTTCAAGGGGACAACCACCACAGTGACTGCTTTAACCAGCACCATCCAGTCCACAACCACAAAACCTTAAAAGTTCAAATGTGCACCTAAAGTAAGCAAGTTTAGAAAAGCTCACTGGGTGTGTTAGTGGCTGTGATTTAAGAGAAACAAAGATGACTGTCCACTCAAAATAAAAAAAAATAGACAAGGAAAGGAAAGCAGGGCTTGTTTCTGGTTTGCTCTGTCGTGAATAGAATCAGGGGAGGAAAAAGAGCTGGTGAAAGAGGAAAAGTACCAAGCGGGGTGCTACTTACAACGATGTGTGCCGGTGACGGGGACCTGGCATCTTTAAGTGCTTGTCTACTTTGAAGACCTCCTGGTTGAACATCTAGAAGGGGCCATTTCATCTGTAGGTACTGAATGGCAGAAAGGAAACAGAATGGAAAGAAAGAAAACAAATGTTAACAATGCAAAAAAAAGCAAAAAACCAAAAAACAAAAAAAACGACAAAAAAGGGAGGAGACATTTCTTGACATGTGCATGGGTGTAGAAACTCAAAAATATGGAGACGCAAATAAAAAAGTCTTAAGGCGGATGATGGAAGGGATGAGAATGGCCTCAAGCGTGCGTCTGAGAGCAGCAGGAGTGCACAGAGTAGACGTGTAACTCAAATAACGCGGAGTCRTTTTTTCTAAAAATACAACACAGGCTTCAGAATGCAGGCAGTCGAAAACAACACTTTTTTTGTTGTTGTTTTATCAGCAAACGTGGTTTCAAGCAGGTAAACCGGAACTAGCAACCTCAGTTCAAGGTTTTACAATGACCTCATGTCATCAGTGTGACTTTTTTTTTATAATTGAAACCCATAAAAAGTGGTAAAGCCTGGTGTCTCTCCACGCTCCTGTGAGGCCAAACCTCCTGACTGCTCCCATAAATGATTGACTTGGCCTCTATCAGAAGTCAGTATGTCTGCGGTTCCCCCACCCATTCTCTCTCACGCACCCACACAAAAGTAGAGACCAAAAAAAAAAAAGAACAGATAAGAAGAAACAAGGTTCATGAGAAACCTCCATCTAGTAATAAACTGGGTGGAGAGCCACTGTAATAATCTATACTGGACTGTTCAAATACACATTTTGAATATTCACATGGTTTGTCAAAATAATTCTGTCATTTTAAAGATGCGTTCGGATTAACTCCAATGGGTTTCCAGCTACTGAATGCCTGGTGTTTGCTTTGCTACAATATGAGAGCCAAATTCTGCTTATCAGTGTCACAGCCACCTAGTTTGGGGCACAGAGGTCACAACAACCTACAAAATTGGAGCGAAAAAATCTAGAGAAATACAAAAGAAGGGGAAAGAAGCTCATAAACAGGAACATTATTAGCATTTGTTGCTTTCTAAACACAGGCAAGTCCCTGTTTTTGTTTGCAAACAACTTCTAAAACTACATTAAAAAATAATAAGAAGATATCAAATGAAAAGCCTCTCAAGATGTCTATTAAAAAGGTCTACACTTTTTCAATTCCAGATTATGGATGTAAAAAAAGAGGTCTGTCTTGAGAAGCTAAATGAAAGCGATCGCTAGAGTCGGGTAATTAATGAAGGAGAGTAGCTGGCCTATGTTGTGACCCCAGTGTCACAGACACTCATTAAAAACTGTTGAGATATTGCCACTAAAAATCTCTGACAAGTGAATCTGAGCTCAGAGCTGCATCTAAAATGCCCGACAAAAAACAAATCTCTGGCATGATCAAAATGAAATGTTTTTCTTCTTTTCCACCCGTCATCTTAAATAACGTTTCACGGGTGACCCGGGCGCTCTTTGGCAATCGTAAATTGAATAGTTTTTGTTATGTTTCACAATCACCTCATGATAATTACTGAGCCTTGGATCACATGTTGGCAAAAAGAAAAAAAAAATTTTGTCCGTTTAATAAATTATCCATCCATTCCTCAAACAATCAATGAAGTGCTAGAACTAAGCCTAATTATCTGGTGCTTGTACGGTGACACAAGTGTGTTACATTCAGTTCCTCCGTGTTGCCATCTTGCAAAGGTGGCCACTAGTTTGTATGCATGTCTGACAGCAGCTGTGTGTGCGTGTGTGTGTGTGTGTGTGTGTGTGTGTGTGTGTGTGTGTGTGTGTGTGTGTGTGTGTG